TCATCTTTATGGGAACACGTCACCAGGACTTTAATCCAGAGCACCTGGGCGGGCTTGAACTCCAGACCTTACAGTTAGCAGCAACGGAGGCAATTGCTAATTGTTCTGGCTGGAGGATTGTTGTTGTTGTTGTTGTTGTTATGTGCTATCGAGTCGGCCCCAATTCATAGTGCCCCTTCTTGGGTTTCTGAGGCAGTATCACTATGGAAGTAGATTGCCCCATCTTCCTTCCAAGGATTACCACCCCCAATTTAAGACATCAGGAGCTCTGGTAGCATAGTGCCTAAGACATTTGACTGCTAACCAGAATGCTGGTGGTTCAAATCCACCAGCCACTCCTCGGAAGGAAGATCGGGCAATCTACTTCTGTAGTGATACTGCCTCGGAACCCAAGGAGGGGTCGCTATGAGTTGGGACGGCAGGGACCTGACTCACAGCGCCCCTCCTTGGGTTTCCGAGGCAGTATCACTACATAAGTACCACAGTGCTGGTTTAATGGTCAGAAAGAACCCAAATGGTGCCTGAAACTTATGTCAAGCCTCGAAATGGAGTTAGGGCTCCCACTGCAAACCACAGCCTTCCACAGGCCCAAGTGCCTTATAATTTAAGCTCTGATATACCCTATAGGACAGATTCCAACTCACAGCAACACTACAGGACAGAGTAGAACTGTCCCACAGGGTTTTCAAGGCTGTCATCTTTATCAGAGCAGAGCACCAGGTCTTTCTCCCATGGAGTCACTGGGTGGGTTCAAACCACCGATCTTTCTGTTAGCAACTGAATGCTTAACCAGTACACCACCAAGGCTTCTAATGCAAGGCTTACGTGAGATATAACAAATCATCAGTTCCTAATAATTTTTAGCTGAAAGTCTCGACAACGAACGGTATTCAGAGTACATAACAACCCCTTTCCCCAGAAAGGACACACCCTCATAACTGAATGAAACCATATACCTTATTTACTACAAATAGAAGGAAAGGTCACTTCTCCCTTAAATCTACACTTTGCTATTGTTTTAGAAAATCTGCTTTAGAATAAAGCACAAGAAGAGAGTACTTTATGCATATACTTAACATACACCTTTATCTTTGAAAATATAAAATGAAACACTGACCTCTCTGAATATTGATTATATTTTGCAATTCCAACCCTACCACCCATTGAGAATCCCTGAGGTCACCTTTTAGCTGAATAACAGACTGGCTCAAAAAATACAGAATATCATCCGTGAGCAATGAGCTCCTTTAAAAAAAATCATCTATAGGAGGTAACTGTGAAGCAAAGATGAGAGAGGAAGGGGGCAGGGATACTAGAGCACTGGAAATGGTACAACCAGAATGGAATGAATGAGAATGATAACACAATGTGAAAAATGTAACCAATCTCACTGAATGATCTATGCAGAAATTATTAAATGGGAACCTAATTTGCTGTCTAAATTTTCACATTAAATACAATAAAATATTATTTTAAAAAAATGTTTTTCTTCTTCCTACCATGGTATCTTTGAACTTGGCATAGTGGCTAAGGCATTTGACTGCTAACCAGAAGGCTGGCAGTTCAAACCCACCAGCCATTCCTTGGAAGGAAGGTTGGGCAATCTGCTTCTGTAGAGATACTGCCTCTACAGAAACCTAAGGAGGGGTTGCTATCAGTCGA